CATTGTACAGTGGCATTAAGTGCCGTAATGTGCACCTCTGCCTACCCCTTCGGGGATAAAAAAGGCGTGATGTTATGTTATGTTATCAAAGTAGTTAAAGAAACAAATTAGGTAATTTTTATTTTACTCACATTTGAGCGGAGCCTTTCAAGAACTATAAATATGAAATAAGATTCTAGTTGCTTATTAATTAAATCATTGATTGTTTCATTATGTTATATTTATATTTTATTAATTCAGTAATAAATAAGATAAGAATGAAAACAAAACAAAACATTGACAAACCAAGCAAGCAAATGGCTTTCAAAGTTGACATGATCAATTGACAATTGACTTGACAATTGACATGCCAGAGACTAAACTCCACAGATATCTCTTTAATAGTGTTGTGAAGGTTTGGAAATGTCAATTTTATTTGCAACTTATCGACTAATCACGTTTTTGTACACCAGATGGCGTAATTCTAGCATGAGGTCTGTTTGCCTCCTTATAAATAAATCCTTTGCTATGCCACGACGTACCTACTGTGCTGGCAGTGAGAGCCAGCCATCGCGTTGGGCAAAGTATTGTTGATTTACATATTCAATTTTGTAACATCTCGACAATAACATGTCAAAAATTCTCATCATCAACATTTTCGTCAACATCATCAGCGCGTGTTCATCCACTGCTGGACATTGGCTTCTCCAATAGCACGCCAGTGGGATCGATTTTCAGCTCTTCTCATCCAACCACTGTTAGCCACCTTTCAGATATTGTCACTTCACATAGCTGGAGGGCACACACTACGTTTACCTATATGCGGCCTCCAATCTCACACTGTCTCTCAAAAACTCTCTGCCTATTATAAATAGGACTCATCGTAACGTAATGGCGTATTGGTGTAAAATTACGGATGCAATATGAATTCAAGGACGATAAAAAAGGGGGACACTATAGAAACAATAACTGTGGCACTTGGTTATTATAGACTTACACGCAAAACGTAAACACATTAACACGAAGGACATTTGTAATTTTTTAAATCTGGTACCGTGGTAACCCGTTTCACACACACATAAATAACCTATTGGTACCCAACTCTCTCGGAGATAGTACACTGGTTTAGTGCCTACAACCTATTACTAAATGGAACTTAAACTAAATGCATTAAATTCACAACGCCAAATGTAAAGACCAGCGTGCTAATTAAGGGTGAGGAGTTGGGCCCTGTGGATTCTACTGTCTTTTTAGGTAGGTATAACCCTAGACGCTTTTTTTTTTTTAGGGTGGGAAAAACATCAAATGACTGCTCCTGCCTGGGTGAGGCGGGAGGGAGTGTCAGACTCTTACTGACTAAAAACCACCCCGTTCCTTCTCCTGCACGTCCAGTCGGAGCCCCGGTTACCCGTTAGGTTTTCCGCGACTCCGAATCGGCATCGGCCCTATTGGGCCCCATCTGTGGTGGTCTGATGGCTCTAGGAGGGCCGCGCGGAACGTGACGCGCCGTACGCTCGGGTCTGTTTCTGGTCGGACGGGGACCCATGCTCGCCGTCCGTAGGCCCGCGCTTACGGTGGCCGGAAATCGTCCCGCGATCCCCGACGCCCGGTGTGTCCTTCGCGATGGCTGGGTTGCGAGGAGGCAGCGCTTCGCTGCCTCACGCGTCCCGCCTCCTCCTTAGCTAGCATGACTGCTTCGCAAAAGGAGGAAACCCTAGACGCTAAGCTCCAGTGGGCTCCACTCCACATATAGATAAGTTATCGAAAAGGCTCAGTTCTGCAGCATATGCCGTTAAAAAAATTAGAAATTTAACCGATGTAGATACAGCGCGATTAGTATACTTTAGTTATTTTCATAGTGTTATGTCATATGGTATTCTCCTATGGGGAATGCTGCTGACATTCAATCTATCTTTGTTCTGCAGAAGAGGGCCATTCGATCAATTTATAATCTTAGTCCGAGGTACTCTCTCAGGGAACTATTTAAAGAAATTAATGTAATGGCTGTTGCCTCTCAATACATTTATAAAAATGTAGTATGCTCATAAAAACAAAAGCTTATTTAAAAAGCATAGTGATATACATAATATCAACACGAGGTCGAGAAATAAAGACAAATATGTTGTCCCCACTACTAGACTAAAGAAAATAAGTGGTTCGTTTAGATCTCAGAGTATACGCTTTTACAATAAAATATCCAGCCATATCCAAAATTTAAGTCTAAATAAATTTAAAAATGTCATTAAAGATAAACTTTAGTAAAGCTTTTTATAAAATAAAAGACTATCTAGATGATAGTCTGGTGGATAACCCTGGGTATCGTGAGGGTTAAGCTGGGGGTTGATTTGAATAAAAGTACTTGGTAGTGGTTACCGAACACTTGTATTCCGAATTATTGTACAATAAAAATTATGATACAATAGCACGTGACAAATTGATACCATCATCAAATAAATTCTTTAGACACTTATACTATTGACGGAGAATCTTAACACCGCAATTCAGAAAACGATCTCAGAAAAAGCACCATCTATGAACGAATGTTGGAACACTTGTTCTCTGAATCGCGGGTTTCTTACATGTCAATTGCTTGGCGGTTAGACATGAAATGGCTTGGGAATAAGCTGCTGTAACGTCCACACAGGTCATGTTGACATGTTTGTAACATATAGTTACGTTGCTTTTTATATGCAATTTGACATTATTATTTTAATGTGATATTGTTTTTCATTTGAAACATTTTTTTTTGTTCAACCTTGACATTTACCTCTATTTTTTATAATTGTTAGTGCTAGGACCGTGCGAGACTTTGCCTCGCCATTTCTTTTCTAATTACTCATATTCTGACAGTTGGAGTATTTGTGCGACCCACGCAAATGTTCTTTAGGTTGGTATTGTTCGTCGAATCAGTCAGCCTCACCTGTTGAGCTGACTGTAAACCGACACAATATGCGTACTGCCTTCAGAACGGGTCCGCTCAAACTGTTGTGGTTCTTTCCTCAAAAGGCCACTACAGAAAGAACTTGAACGGTTCTCACACATAATCTATTATACATATTGTCTGGACTTTAAAAGAGACAGACCTCTGAGTTTGTTTCGGCATTTATTCTCAGATTAGTCAGTTAGGAAATGTCGACCTCATCGTTCGCTTGATAAAATTGACGTATAAAATTCACTTGTTTCACTTATTGACATTTGGATGCTTCAATCATTTCTAAATGCCAAATAATTCTAAATAATTCTGGGTTCGACAGGAGAGACATGAAAGTAGGTATACGGTACGTAGTAATGCGTTCAAATAAACGAAGAGTTTTGAATATTTTGTAACTAAATAAAGGCAATACGCGCAAATATTGTAGCTTTTATATTTGACAGATAATAGCAAGGCTGTAGGCTAGGCTGTAAGCCACGTCGACGCTGTTTTTTGTTCGAGAATACCAAAATGTATGTAGAATTGTCAATTTGCTCACCGTTGAATAGTTTCAACTCACGGCCGTCACAGCCTTGAGCGCTAGTGTACCGTATGTCAGCTTAGTGAATATTAAACGATAATTTCGTCGCTGTAGCAACGCTGCAGGCAACGCTGTATCTTTAGAGAATAGCACTGCTGGCTTACCTAATAAGACATACACCTTGGTAAGTAAACAACATAAACCAGTAAATTAATTTAATATACACAAATAAGTAAAGTATTATAATTAAAAAATTAACACTAAATTATTGAAGAAAATCCGCCGGATTAAAGGGATGTTCCTTTTGCATTTTTGCGTATGCCTCATGATATTCCGCGTATTCTGGATTTTGTACAAAAGTGTATTCTTTATTTCCTTCTTTTCTAATAATTGGATTTGTTGTAGAAGACATTATTACTAATTCATCCTCCCCTGATGACTGATCATCATCGTTTGCAGCTGACTCGCTCTCCGCTATGCGGTTATTATATTCGTCTTCTACATTCTTATATGGTTCAATGTTAACTTTGTTGAAAGATGGCTTGCTTCCTGGTATTCCTTGAAGCTCGGTTTGCTTGTCCACTTCTGATTCTGATTCTATTGAGCTTTCATCGTCTTCCCTTATTTCTCTTTCTAACTTGTTCTCATATTCTTTCTGGTCTCTGTATTGTCTTTGTTTTTCTTTAGTATTTATCTGTTCTTCCTCAGCTCTGTAATCTGAATAATTGAATTCTTTTGCTTTCTTTTTCTCTTTTGTAGACTCATTTTTCTTTTCTTTTTTAGGCTCTTTTTTCTTATCTTTCTTAGATTCTTCTTTTTTATCTTTCATAGATTCTTTTTTCGTGCCTTTCTCAGGTCCTTTTTTCTTTGCTTTCAGGGGTTTCACATTTATTCCTTTTATTTTATTTTCCACTTCCTTTTTTTTATCAATGACTTTCTCTATAAATGTCTTTTTAGGTCCTAATATTTTTGCTAGCCTCTCTTTTGCCTGTTTTGCTAATAACATTGATCCTTGCTTCATTTCTTCTTCATATTTAGCCTTTTCTTTTAAGAGTTCCTTTAACCTATCATATTGATGCTTTTTGTTTTTATCTGATTCCTCTTTCATCAATTCGTCATACTTCGCTTTTTCTTTTAAAACTTTATTTGCTTGCTCAAGGTTTGCTGCTACATATGCTTTTGATGATTCTGCCATTTCTGTTTCAACTTTCTCTTTATCTTTTAGAACTTTGCTTAACCTCTCTTGTGCCTCTTTGTGATATTTATCTGATTCCTTTTTCATCATCTCTTTATGTTCTTCCAATTCTTTTTCGACTTTTTTCGCCCACTCAGCGTGCTGTTTTTCTTGTCTCTTTGACTCCTCTCGGATCTCCTTTTCTAATATGTGTCTAGGTGTCTCATGCATGTTGATATCTCCCATTATTACAACGTCGCTTGGTATTTCCTCTACGCTTTCATCTATCTCAGGAACACCAAATAAGGCACGCTGTTCTCTTTCGCTTCTTTCATAAATTACTGCTGCGTTTCGCAATCTTTCTTCTTCCTCTAACCTATCTTTTAGAATTTTTTCTAATCCCTCACGTTCTCTTTTTTCCTTTTCTAGTTTGTCTTTCTGATTTCTTTCTGTTTCTTCTGGTTTTTTACTATCTTGCTTAACTTGTGTGAACTCGAGCTTTTCATTTAATATTCGCATTTCTTTATCTGTTGGATGTTGTTTTAGTAATTTCTTCAATTCACTGTCAGGTAAATTTCTAATTCTTCTTTCTTTTTCTTCACTCTTCGCCTGAACTTGTTCTTCTGAAATCTGAGCTCTAAAATGTGCAGTGCCGATCATGTCATCATTAGTATGATCTTTTTGTATGGTGATATTTGTAACATTGGTGACTGCTTCCACTTTAAAGCGCGTAGTTGTAGGTTCTCTCATTAAAGTCACCTCCTTTCTATGATCGATTTCTTCATGACTTTTCTCGTCTGAAGCGACACCTTGAAAGTTCTCTTCACTTATTTCGTCTGATGTATTATGTGCGTGCTCATGTTCCACGCTGTAAGCTTTACTTTTAAATTCTGGGCTGACACGGTCTGTGTGTTCTTCGTTTGGGTGAGTTCCATCTTTTGCATTGTCATCCATGTGTAAATGCGAATGCTCAGATTTGTTTAGGTCTTCTTGGAAACTATGTTCATATTTATGCTCCTCTTTATCCCATACGTGATCGATTTTAGCACTTTTATAATGTAAATCACCATCTCTGTCATTGTAATACTGTTCATGCTTCTCGTGGCTTCCATTTGGGTCATTTTGATCTTCATTTTTAGCTTCTTCTTTAAGATCAATATTTTCATCATCATTTAACGCGTGTTTCTCATTGTTTTCTTTCTTCTCAAGAATCATGACCTTATTGTGGTCTGTGGAATTTTTTGTCTTTGCAGTTTTTGTTAGATATTTGTATTTAAGTCTTAAATTTTCATTAGGTGATATCTCACCATCATTGAGGGATATGGTAGGGTTTCGCTTTCGACTTTCCTTACTGTGCGTGTCGTCATCACGTAATTTGATGCTGATTAACTCGGTATGTGTGTGATCATCTTTAAATTGTTCTTTGTTGGTATTTTTGTGGGACTTTTTACTCCATCTTATCCTTTCGATATCCGTTCTAGCAGTTGGAGGATTATCTAGATTTTTTATTTTATATGCAGCTTTGTCGGCGAACACTTCGGTAAGTTCATCGAATTTTCGAGATGCGAGCAGTTGATCGATAAATCCATCAACGTCGTATTTTTCGCTTGACGTCTTCCGTGGTATTGGGATTGCAGACATTTTCGAGTCACAAATGTAAACAACAACTGTAAAGAAATAAATTTATATATTATACTAGTTTTAAATGAAAAGCATTATGGCCTTCGCGATGAAAATCATTTTTGCAAACATACACATTATGTGTAACATGTTTGCAAAAATGTAAGAGATTAATTGAGTTGATAAGGCGTAAAGGGGTAACTGACACACAAACTTAGTACCCAACAACTTATTTCGCATTTCTAATATAACTTAATTTAGATTTTTGATGTCTATTTTCATGTGGGCCTGGTTTGGGCTGGGGACTAATAAGAGCACTTCGTCGGCGCTCCTATTTTGTTTTTGGAGGAACCATCACTTTATGGGCAGTTGGGCACACAAGTCCCGCGTCGTCCCTATTAACCTGGTGCCCTCGGCACTTGCCACCTAAACCCGCTTTCCATGAGTTATAATTTTTATGTAATCGAGTCTATAAGCATATCAGACTCAGGCACAATTCCGCAGTCGATAAAAACTGAGAATTCTATATATATAAAAGAAAGTCGTGTTAGCTACACTATTTATAACTCAGGAACGACTAAATCGATTTGGATGAAAATTGGTGAGGAGGTAGATTAGAAGTAGGAGACGGATACTTTTATCCAATACTTTTTTTTAATTTTTACCGAAAATCACGAACGGGAACGGGGGGGGAAATGGGATTGCGGAAGCTAGTTTTCTAATATTCAAAAAACACAATAACACTCGAGAAGAAACTTGACACTAATGTTCATCAGTCGCACTCCATTTATGAGGCAAACACATCTTCAATGTTGTATATAGCTACTCCCGCGCGATTTCACCTGCTACTCCTTGGTTCCTATTGATCGTAGCATGACCTGTGACTTCTCTGGTGTTGCGTTAAGCCTTCCTTGATAAGATGGACTATTCCAGAGGACGTGGACTGAATATATTAGTATATATTTAGTCCACGTTTTCCTGAAGATATTAAATAAGGAAAGTAATTCTAGCTGCGATACTCACAGAAATAGTATGCAATCACATTGTACATCTTAGATTTGAAACTAGTAACTTATTACGGCTTGTTATAAATCTTTTAAATTTTCGATAAGAGCGTGAGCATATAAAAAGTGCAATAGTAGTAAAATAGCACTTATTCTTGTGATAAGGCGAGTTTGCTTACGAGACGACGCTAAAGCAGTTTTATACCATGAGTGTATTTATATAGTTGAATTATGTAACTATTTTAAATATTATGTGTTTGCAAATATGATCCTGTTATGTAAAAGTCATTGCGTTAGAGACATTACCATCAAATGAAGCAGTTTTTTCTTAACTGCACATGAAATAGAAAATGAAATTATTTTTTAAAGATTGGAGTCCATTTGAATTTTCCAATAAACGGATATTTTTTCGATTAAGATATGTAATCGATTTGAATTCCCAAAACTTCATAATTTGACAAGTTAATGTTATAATTAAAATACTAATCTGCATGGCGCAACACTAGTGGCGGCTGGCGGCTCATTTCAATTAATTATTCTACCTGTAGTTGCGAATTTAATTTTGCCGATGCAAGTTTAGACTGACGAATCTGTTATTTTATTGTGTGTTGTAAGCAATATCTATCGTATACACGATGTCGTATCCGGCGTTGAGACAACCAAAAAACTTAAAAATCAACGAGAAGTCTAAGACAGCGGTTTTTAATGAACCACAGAATTTTTTGATAGTGACTTTGAAAGATGGGAAGAAGCTCGTCGTGTCTTCTGATACTTACCACGGAATTCTAACGGCAGGGGAGCTGTATAGATGTGTGTTTTGTGAAACAGAAATGGCAAGAGACTTGATTTGTAAAGAAAGACACAAAGCGTCTGAAAATCATCGAAAGATTCTCGAAGGCTACCCGCACGTTGACGAATTCAAAGAGAATCTACTTAGAAAGGTCTGTTTTGTTTTATAATTCTTTGGTCTATTTGTTTGTTTGTATGTAGGTATGGGTCTTTTGTAACTGGAATTTTACCCCTTTCCTGACGACAGATCGATCTGATATTTGGCACACACTCATTTTAATGACCATTAAATATTATAATTTATTCCACAACTACCTCCACTATGTGAATATCTAAAGTGCAGGCTTGATGTGTAGAATAGGTCTCATTTAACTCGTCGAGTACCGGTTTTGTAGACACAATTATAGAACAATAGGTTGCGGTCACCGGTGACCGCTTGGTGTTTGACAGTTTAAACAAAACATGATTTTTTTAAATATAATTTTCATGTCACTATGTAGGTACTTACACTGAATTTTTTAACAGAATTTTATTGTGAAATTAATTGTAAAAGAGTATCTGACCATAGAGTATCTTGCTTTTTTTCACCCTAAAAATCTACACTTAGTTAGGAAGCTAGGATCAACAGGTTTTTAGGAGATGTTTATTAAACTGTCAAACACCAAGCGGTCACCGGTGACCGCAACCTATTGTTCTTTAATTGTGTCTATAATGACGGTACTCGACGAGTTAATCCAAAAACATACTTACATAACTTCACGCCACTCTCCCATGGGGATAGGCAGAGACTATGGAAGACAAATTGTTGTGATTCGTACATAACTCTTTTGTTTCATCAACAGTCATCAATATTTTCATGCATGCTCAAGGGTACTTTTAATTTTGCCCTTCTGTAATATATTGCCAATTTTGTCAGTATATGTCTGTCTAGGGCACCCTCTACCGACGGCCCCATTCATATTCAAATTCCCATTATTCCAAATATGTTTTCCATAAATTCATATACCTACATACATATTTATAAGTTTCCATCTGAATATGTATAATTATGTCCATTAACCCATACATCAGCAAGCGGTCACCGGTGATCACTCTCCACTAACTACATTATAGACCTTATTTCCAATTCCAATGTTTAGAGACTACCTTTGTATGAAACAGTTAAGGGGATGAATTTCAACGGATTAAGCTAATCAGATACTGAAACAGGTTTTAATTGAAATAAAACCTTTATGGTAGCATTTATTCTGGTGTAGAGAAATTAATTTTCAAAAAAAGAAGTACTCCAACCTGGACCTCTTTAACTTACTATGTATGTGTGTGAGTAAAGTAAAACCTTAAAAGTAAATTTTGAGCCAAATATCTTTTACCTCTTATCTACGACACAATATTTAAAGTAACTTGTTGAGTACCGTCGTTATAGACACAATTAAACTGTCAAACACCAAGCGGTCACCGGTGACCGCAACCTATTGTTCTATAATTGTGTCTACAAAACCGGTACTTGACGAGTTAATCGATTGAGCTGAAACTTTGTGTACCTGTTTAGTTTGCATGATGATGAATGCCATATTAACTATTCAATCCCCAAGCAGTCACCGGTGACCGCTCTCCACTTACTTCCATTATAGACCTTATTTCCAATGTTTAGAGACTGCTTTTGTAGTAACAAATTTTCGGTACGATATATCAACTTCAATAATCAACAAAAATAACCAAACGCACACACACATACACAAATACACACACACACACACAAACACACTCACCACATAGTTTATTGTATTTTTTATATTGTTTATGTATTTTTTTTTATATTGCTAGTATATTATATCTATTGTAGGTTGTATTGTTGGTATTTTTATTTTGTCTTTTTTTTTTATTGTACACTTAACTACCCCATATCTGGTTACTTATTAATATTTCCATGCAAAGTTGGTCTGGAAGAAATCAACATTGAGTGATAAGACCACCCATTGTACGCATATTTATTTAAATGGTTTGTTTTTGAAAGCATATTATAACATAACATCACGCGGTTTAGCCCGAAGGGGTCGGCAGAGGTATACATTATGCCACTGTACAATGTAACACCCACTTTTCACTATTTATGTTATGAGTCCCATGTAATAGGGGGTGAGCCTATTGCCAAATACCGGGCACAATTCCATACTACGTGCTACTACTGAGAATTTATAAAAACCCAGTAATACTTTGCCCGACCCGGGAATCGCACTTGCGACCACTCGGCCAACGAGGCAATCATATAAGCATATTATAGTATAAATAAATAAATCAACGTATTAATACTGCATAATAGTTCTTAATATTTTTTTTTACAGCTCAGCACATCAGGCCATTACTGTACAGTCTGCAATGTGGTTGTGATGACGAACTATGCGTACAGACATATAGAAGGACACAGCCATCGGCTAGAATTAGACAAGGCTCAAAGCAGAGCGCTCTCGTACAAACCGTCTTATTAAAGAAGAAATTCCAAGTATGAAGCAAGGAGGGTAGTACATGGCACTCTATAGTTTCTGTTTCCATCATAGAATAAAATAGTGTATTATCTGTTCAATTTATTCATTTGGATTAACAACTTTATGTCAATATAATAAAGTTCAAGGTGTAATAGATAAAGATGAAGGATCACAATCCATACCATATTACCCGGGTTATTCTACAAAAAAAAAAAAAACAGAAAATTAACATCGTCATTATCCCTAAGCCAAAGTTAACGATTCTGCTGATTAATATACTATAATGCACGCTTCTCATGCATTCATAATGAAATAAAAAATCATAATATAAACTGTCAAACACCAAGCGGTCACCGGTGACCGCAACCTATTGTTCTATAATTGTGTCTATAATGACGGTACTCGACGAATTAAACTGTCAAACACCAAGCGGTCACCGGTGACCGCAACCTATTGTTCTATAATTGTGTCTATATTGACGGTACTCGACGAGTTAAATTACACAGTCAAGTGTCGTGGTGGCCCTGAAGTTTAAAACGCCTGCTTCTCATGCACGAGGGTGCGAGTCCGAAACCTACCAACGGCAAGTACCAATGTGACTTTTTCCGACTTCTATCTACTTTCTAAGATTATCTAGACACCATTGACAAACGGTGAAGGAAAACATCGTGAGGAAACCTAGGCTTATAATTTCTAATTATAATTATCAAATCGCCAACCCGCATTGAGCAAGCGTGGTGATTAATGCTCAAACCTTCTCCGTGTGAGAAGAGGCTTTGCTCAGCAGTGGGCACTTATAGGCTGTTGATAATGATGAGATAACACAAGCAGTGCAGGTGATACGTCAAAAAAGTTACTCGCGAAACATAAAGCGGTCCTTTTTAAGGAGAGTGAGAGCTTGTATTGCCGCGGGTGGTCAACATTTTGAACATTTATTGTAATAAAATATCTTTAAACTAACATTCTTTGCTTTTATTCTACTGGGAACCCATCTACCTGTGTGTATTTCCTTCTTGCTCACTCTTGGAACCGAAGTAAATAATAGTAGTAACATAACAGTTTCTAAGATAAGAAAGGGTCCGACAGTTACCGTTAGTAGGTAGGCACTTCGTAAAAATTGGGTTGTTGAGTAAAAATATTATCAAAATTTTTTTTTTTTCAAATTAATGTGTAAGTATTATACCTTTTTAAAAAGAGGAATAAACGCGTCAAAATTTGACGTCACTTGCCATACTATTTTGGTACATTTTTTTTACACTACAGTCGGTCAAATTTGCGAAATTCAATAGTTTTCCATATCACCTTTAGTTAAAATAATATTTTATTTTAAAATGGTACAATAAGTACTTTATTTTTACATTCTATTTAGACAGCAATACCCTAGATTACAAAACCTCCAAGAAATATCGAAATTATCAGCATTAGCAGTCACAGCATTCAAAAGTATGTCACAGGGTGCTCATTTCCCCTTTTTTTTTGAAATCAGTATAATTCTGTAAGTACATGGGGTGGATTTTTTAAAATATTTTTCTGAGTACTTTTAGAACTTGGGGCATCGTGGGAATCCAGTTGGACGCCAGGTTCTTGGACACCCTGTATAAAGTATTTCAAGAAATTGAGCCGTGTCACTGCTCTCACCTAATCCAATGAAATACAGATGCTAATAAGTTACTGCGATCCTTAACAACGCGGGAGGATAATGATTTGTTAAATTAAAGTTAAAGTTTTTTGAAGAAACACCCTCGCCATGACTTGTAACAAAGTGACGAATCTATAAAACGCTAATGTAAACAAAAAATTAAAAAAGACTGACGTTGGACGAGTGGTCGCAAGTGCGACTGCCGAGCAAGTGGTCTACGATTCTCGGGTCGGGCAATGTACCTATTAGTGGGTTTGTTAAAATTCTTAATAGCATGGAGTGTGTGCCCGGTATATGGCAATAGGCTCACCCCCTATTACATGGGGCTCGTAACATAAATAGTGTAAAGTGGGTGTTACATTGTACAGTGACATTAAGTGCCGTAATGTGCACCTCTGTCTACCCCTCCAGGGATGAAAGACGTGACATTACGTTATGTTATGTAACATAAATAATGGCCAGTGCCTTTAGCCAAACGCCACTTTAGCGCTTGTCTACAGAGAGAGTAGAAATCAAAATGTATGGGGATGACACTGACAAGTGTCAAAATTTATGTCAATTCCATATAATTTGGTTTTATAATCTACATGTAGACAAGCGATAAATGGCATTTGGCTACAGCTGCTGAGTTTATGAGTCGAATAACCTTATGGGTACTCTTTCAAACAAAAAAACATAACATCATAACATCAAGCCTTTTATCCCTCTTTTTTTAAAAAAACCCATTAGTACTTTGCCCGACTTGAGAATCGAACACGAGACCCCTTGCTAGGCAGTCGTACTTGCTAGGTAACACATCGCCACACACAATCTGCATGAAAAGATTGATGATTGTTATTGAAGCGAAAGAGGATGTAAGAGTCGTAGTAATTGGTGTTCCTTAGTCTCTGCCTACCCTCATGGGAGACAGGCGTGAAGTTATGTATGTATGTATGTACATCGCCACACACAATCGTCCACAAAGATACTTATGTTTGTGTCCAATTGGGAAGACGACAGGGTATGAAAATTAAAAATGTAATTAGTCCGTAAGTTAGGTAATTAAAAATTATTAGACAGGTATTTTTTTATTTCGTCGTATAATAAAACAATACTTAGTTAAAACGAATCAAAGTTTAGGAGTGGGGGCTAAAACGTCATTTCTACGTATAAAATGTACATAAAAGTGACGTCACGCGACTTTTTAAATCAATATATCATCGAAAGTATTCGTTTCTGTAAGAAAATAAAAAATACGTGTGTAATGATTTAAAATAATCTACCAGACGGACATAAAAATAAAAAATAGTCGTCTACCCTATTACCTCGCGATGGTTTGAACCGATATTGAAGCGGTTTACAGAAGTCTTTGTTACACATAGGTTTTAATAAATTAAGTGACTTCAAAAAAGGAGGGAGTGGAAGTCGGTTTTTTTTATACGTAGTTTATAAAATGCTGCCAGTCTTCTGGGAACGTTCCCCTGTGATAGTGACGCGGACGAGTACTTTGACGCTTAAATATGGGTATTCTCATCTATCAACAATAAATTTTATTATAACGTTATGTTATTTGTATAGTTTAAAATGTGAGGAATTAAAAAAGAGTTGTTATTCCATAAAAACATAGAATTAATTTTAAATTTCAAAGTTAAAATCAAAGTTTTATTATCTGTATGTCACGTGATCAAAAACGTCCGCCATGATTTTCTCGAGAGTGACGTCGGAAGTATCAAAATAATTTATAGCAAACAAAAGCATTCTTGTCAAGCCAAATTTTAAGTACTTTTTGTGTTTCATAAATGAAATTTTTAATGTATAATTCTTGCAATTTAACGCAACACACCAACGATACGGGTTATTGAAACTCATCTTTATTTTATAAATAGAACAAAATCACAACGCAACCAATAACATGTTTACAAAATCTATGACTTGGCCATTTGACGTTTCAATATTTTCTTATTACTGATGTCACTAAAATGGCAGTTCGTGTTTTGGCGCGTATATTTTACGAAAAATTTTTTGTTTTTTTTTTTCGGTATAAAGCGGTCATATTTAGCTGAAATAAAAATTATACCTAAGTACTTTAATCTTAATAATCAGAAATTATACGAACACTTAAAAAAATCAAAAAGTTTTATTTACTTTTTTTTACTGTTATTCAATACTTCTGTTGTAGTTAATTAAGTAGTAAATATTTATGTAGTTGTATATATTTTTATATATTCGTAATCCAATAAAAAAGGTTATAAAAGAAATTATCAAATCGTGTAAAAGAAGAAAGTTGTGGGTGTTTCTTATATTTTTATTCTTTCTTAGGTAACTATTATGTCACTTTGTTATGGGTCGTGGGGCAATTAGGCACTTTCCTTAATAAAAAAATAAATTATTTCGATTGTTCAATATATAAAAAAAATATCAAACTTTCATTCATTGATTTCAATATTGTACTGCGGGGTAATAGCTTTACGCCACAATCCTACTGTATAGGAATACCTAATCCTAATGACTACTAAGTACTAGCTAACGTTATTCTACACTATCCTAGATAATCTAACACTTATAATAACCTATCCTATAACCCTTAATTAACCCCCTAAGCCTAAATTTCCAGCAAATTCGTAAGAAATAAGTAACTATGCTATTTGACGCTAAAAAACGTGACGTCACAATACACAATTTCCTACAAAATTCATAGAAAACTGTCGTTTTTGACAGTTCGAAAAAAGTATTGAATTTTTAAAATTTTGAAATTTGTTTTTATGGGATCGCAACTTATGACGTCATCATATTTCTGCGTCAAAAAGCATACATAATTCCTTAGAATTAGCGAGAAAAATCCAAAAGTAGGTAAATTGTCAAATCAATGGATGAGAGTATGATTATTTTTTAATTATTTATTGCATTGAGAAGGTGAAACATTTTATTTTAAACTTAGGAAACTACCCAATTGAAAGAGAAAGAAAGAAAGACTTTATTTCACACGCTAAAAAACAGGTGACACATATAGATTTTACACATAAGTTTAATAAGTAATGAGTTTACAAAATATATCTACTAATGTCCCAAGCACAGGTCCCAAGTCTTTTTTTTTTTTCCTTTTTTTTTTTTTTTTTTGAGGGGTGAAAATCATCCAATGACTTCTCCCGCCCGGGTGAGGCGGGAGGGAGTGTCAGACTCTTACTGACTAAAAACCACCCCGTTCCTTCTCCTGCACGTCGAGCCGGAGCCCCGGTTACCCGTTAGGTTCCCCGCGACACTGTCTAGTGTCTACTACCCTATTGTAGGTCGTCCGCAGCTCCGGGTCGGGGATCGCACGTCACTTGAATAGGTACCGTTTCTAAAAATCACATTTTATATAAGTATAGATATCAAATTAAAAAATATTACGTAAATACATATAATTGATTTAAAACTGCTTTAGCACACTCAAATCGCCATTTTGTTTTAAAACTCGCGAACAAATAGTACACTAAACAAGATTATGTATTTATCAAAATAAAAAATTCACAGTTGCTGAATTAATTCACAACCGTGTGTACTCGAGAACAACTTGATAGGTAATATAATATTGAAGATTAAACAGTATTGATCACTTAT